TTACATGGGCCATGTAAAGTCTCCCTGTGCTCCCTAATGTCACAAAAGTCATTTGAGGGAAATTAAGAAACAATTAATTCCTGAAAAAAAACCCAAGAGGGATCGTGCACAATCAGTCCAGGTTTGCTGGGGAGTGTGTGGTGGTTGCACTCGGCCAGCAGCTCTCCCCCAGCCAGGGAGGAGGGGAGGGAATGGAAAGGGTAAAAGTGAGAAAATTCACAGGTTGAGATAAAAGCAATTTAAAAATTAAAATAAAATAAAAATAATAATAACAGTAATAATAGAATATGCAAATGAGTGATGCCCAGTGCAATTGCTCAGCACCTGCCGACCGGTGCCCAGCCTGTCCCAGCCAGCGATCCCAGAGCAGAGACAGTCCTCAAACCCAAACCCTAGAAGAGCAAGAGCCCGAGTGATCCCCAAGAGAATCCCCCAGAGCTTTCCAGTCAGCCCTGGTTAATCTACTGGCCATGACGGGATAGGAGATGGAATATCTCATTGGCACATCCAATTTGGAGTTTTGTTAAGTACTGCACTTCCCCCTCCCTTTGCACCTGTGAACCAGCCAAACACGATGACCTTGATCTCCCATTCCATCTTCACCAGTAAGCTCAGGAAGTGTGGGTTGGATGAGTGGAGAACTGGTTGAAGGACCAAGCTCAGAGGGTTGGGATCAGCGACATGGTCTAGTCACAGAATCATTGAATGGTTTGGGTTGAAGGGACCTGCAAAGGTCATCTAGTCCAACCCCCCTGCAGTGCACAGGGACATCTTCACTACAGCAGGTTGCTCAGAGCTCCATCAAGCCTGACCTTGAATATCTCCAGGGATGGGGCCTCCACTACCTCTCTGGGCAACCTGTTCCAATGATCCACCACCCTCATACTGAAGAACTTTCTCCTCATATCCAACCTAAATTGACCCTTTTCTAGGGGTCACCATCACCCCTCGTCCTATTGCTCCATGCCCTTGTGAACAGTTCTTCCCCAGCTTCTTGTAGGCACCTTCAGGTACTGGGAGGCCACTGGAAGGTCTCCCTGGAGCCTTCTCTTCTCCAGGCTGAACAACCCCAACTCTCTCAGCCTGTCCTCATAGGAGAGCTGCTCCAGCCCTTGGATCATTTTTGTGGCCTCCTCTGGTTCTCTGAAAATCCACACAGGAGCAGAGTGACACAGTGACCATCCACGCGTGTAAGCTTGGGACACTGATCACATGATGAACACATGAATAGTGCCCGGCTTTTCCAAGACTCATTTATCAAGGAACAAAGAAAGTTGTGGGTACAAGATGTCTCCTGCTCACCTTTTCCAATTTGATGACGAGCCAACCAATTTATCCCATAAACAGGACAGTCCGAGGGAGCCTTCGTGGAGCTCTCCCTGTGAGGTGGTGGGGCTGCAGGGTGGTGGTCTCCCCTTGAGCTAGGACACCTCCCAAGGGTGCTCCTCAAAGCAATGAGATCTTTTACCAATGGCAGCTCTTTGATAAGTGACTGATAGCACAGTGAATTAATACTAATGAAACGTTACTAATCCATGGAGCTCTTAAATATTCATTATTATAAACTTTGTGTAGATACCTTGCCCAAGGAAGTTGTGGCTGGTCCCCCCA